AGCCCCTTGAGGAAGGTCGTTGTGCTAAGATGAAGAAAGGTTTTTATATAAATTATGTCACTTTTACACGAAAAAAATTGATGCGGGGAAACAAAACAAAATATACGTACTGGACCTTTGAGATGACAAGAATAGAAAAGCCACGGAGAAAAATAATTAAGCCAGAATTCCAAAAACAGCTTTTTTTCATGTCCATCCTTACTGAAAGTGTAACTATCTATTGTTTGGAATGGGTTTGGGATTAAACGATATTTTAAAACATTTGACAGTTGAGATATTGACTGATACATCGACCCAAAACTAATTCGTTGATTACCATTTCCCAGCCAAAACTATTATGTGTTGATATTTAAGTGTCACATTTTAGTGATGCTGATAATATTAAATCGCAGCTCTGAGTTACACTGGCAGCAGCCAGCTTCCAACTTCTGAGAGTGTCAAATGGTCACTACTTTTAGTTTTTTCTTAAAATTGTTGATTATCTCTTGTAAGGGTCGTTGAAGTGTTGTTAAGTTATATTATGTCTTACACTCACCATAATCGAATTAATAATTTTATTATTTGTTATATATACAATGAATTACAAATCTCTACGTCAATATAAGCTATATTATTTCTGAGACAGATGTGGGTTGTATGGAGCGACCCAATAGTTTTATGTTTTGTGTTCTCTGGATAGATCAAAACATCTCCAAACAAACAAAGTCCTCCTGAGCTTTATTTAATAGATTTTCCAATATACCCGCCTTTGCTCTGATTTAATTTGAAAAAAAACCCCCCACTAAATTGTTATCAGCATACAACTTAAATTTAGAGCTCTGTCAAAAACACTTATTTTACTCTAATGAAAATGCCTAATAACTCTTGTAAACATTGATAATTTGTACTAAGTCCATTTCAGTTGATATTCAAACAGAGCACATTCAAAAACTATGATTTGAGATAAAATTAACTTTAATTATTTTTTCAATTAAAAATGTATTCCCTAATGTCAAATTTATGATCCTTTATAAACTAAAATACACAAGGACACCTATTTAAAGTAGGATTATTTTAGTAGATCAAGATAACAGCAAAACACTATAATTCTTACAAGAATAATTCTTACCGGTATAATTGTGTAAGGCCTTTTGCGTTACTTCCCCTGTTCATTCCAAATCTTAACATCTAAACAATCTTTTTTTTTAAAAAAAAACTCTGGCTCGCTCCTGACATATATTATCTTAAAGGAATAAAAACAGAAGGATTTAAAATATAAACGAATCTCTGATCTAATGTTCACATTTAAAAGCCTTATGCTTTTTACACTACACTTTCCAATTTTATTGAGTTTTTAAATATGAATATACTTGTGTTTTCACAATGTATCAATGCTCCTTAACAGTTTTTCTGCCATTACTCCAAAGAAAATCAAAAAAATATATCTTTTCACGACCTTTGAATTTTTACCCTACGCTTACATCGTAGTAACTACGTTTTTAAACCTAAGATTATTACACTATGACGAGCAAAAAAAAAAGCTTGATCAAGTCATTACTGATTGTGACGATCTGAGGCTGGGCTTTGTAAAATTTCTTCCAACATAAACCCGCCCTAGAAAACCCTTGTAAAAACTCCTTTCCCTCCCCTCAAGTTGCCCCGCAGCCGCTCAGCACGAGTGAGTTCCCTTGTGATATCGTATTCCTACATCAGTTCGCTCACCCCCAGAGCGTGATATTTGCGGTCAACCCATCCCACCGAACAACCTTGAGGAAATTTATACCGTCACCCCCCTCATTTCTGCCCTGGAGACAGCAAAGCGGAGTAGCGCCCCTTCGTTGTTATTGCATTTCTTGACCAGTTTGCTCACGCATAAGCGTGAATTTGGATTTTCACTTCACCCCGAAAAACCTTGAGGGTAGGAGGTCAAACCCGCTACATTGAAAGTGATTGTCATTGGATGGAAAAACATAAAACATTTGAATCACCCAATTGAACCATCAGCTAATCGTCATCGAACTCGAATAAATAGCCTGAACGAGCAAGATTCTGCCTATTATGATCTGATCACTTGACGGTGAATGCTGGAAGGATCTGCACTCAGAACTTCGTCAGCATGATACATAACTGCATCCTAGGATATTAGCAAGTATATGACTTTTAAGATCTGATCACTTGATTGTGGACGCTTGAAGTGACTAGACTTAGTACTTCACTGGCGTGATACTTAACTTCAACTGCTACCTAGAGTACTAGTAAGTACGCAACCATGATTTTGGTATTGCACTTGTATTGTTCATTCGCTATGTCGCAAATATTCGATCGTGTTTGACCTTATTCTAATAATGCCGATATTTACTTTATATTGATATTATGAATTCTATTATTGCTTTTGCCACGGGCTTCGACATGCCGCCATCCCATCATGGGGATGGTAGGTTGTTGTTCCAACTCGCCCATGTCTCTTTTAACGAGAAGACAATATGTATATTATGAACCTGTAAATTTAAAGATTGTTATTGATACGATGTCCCATACTTTATTAATTAAAATGTTTGAGTGGTCTAACATTGTCGCGATGCAACATATGCTCCCGCCGACTATGACAAGACTTATATTCTATCCACAAATTGGATGTATATATGTACAAGCTATGTACCCTTCCATACATCGATCTGAATTCGTTGCTGTTGGAACGGGACTCATCAGCTTATGGATATTCGCCTGGATACTTATCCATTTTTGTATCATTTTGCCTTTAGCCTGGTTTCTATTACTGGACCGAATTACCTTGAGCTGGAACTAGGGGATTGATCAACATCCTACACCAAACTACCTGACAGCTAGGACTTCGAGATCCAGGGACTCTCACCACCACGATTTATCGCGGGAGAGTCATCTTCCCCTCGCAGACATCCCAAGGACTCAACGACCGGGAAATCCGACTTCGCTACGCTCAGAACAGCACAGAAGGCCGGATCAGGGACACGCTTCTGGAACAGGACTCCCACCCTGTGTGATCCATCGAGACCATCACAGAAACTATAAAGGCTAAGTTTACCAAGATCGAGCATACAACTTGAGCAATATAGCAGTAGTAATGATGATACCGTCTGTATGTTAGGGACACTTGCTTTGTGTTGATATACTTTTCTAATTGGATGAAATCCGTTTGATGTATATACATTAAGCACCATGAGTGTTTTACATAGGAAGTTGTAAATATTGTGTAATAAATATTTGTAGTTAATTTCACCTTTAACTAAGACTTCGTTTCAGTCTATACTATATGTATATAGATAGGTGTTATGTCTGTGTGGTAATTCGGCTTAAATAACATATCCCTAGACACAGTGCCAAGAGATCTCATACGAGAGATACTCTTCAATAAGTCATAAGTCGGATCACCACACTGATACACTCTACTAGATTTATTGATATCCAGTATATTTTATTTTCATCAGGAACCACTTCTGGATCTCTACAGACTCAGTGAAGATCTCAGTTTATGTGTCCAAATTATGAAACCCTAATTACAGAGATTTTATAGACACGGAAGTATGTTTACTCAAACTATTAATTTTCCATTAAAAAAGCATGGATTCAATAAAAAAAAAAGTTTTCTACTTTTGTTACCTATATACATGTTCTATAATCACACAAGGACTAAATAAATTGCTAGACAATTTCAGGACTTTGAAAATCCATCCAAACAAAAAACGTTAACTCTTTTTAAGTATACTGTTGAAATGCGGTACTGCCACGAAATTTAATAAAACATATTTGAAGGCAATTATGGTGGTTAATTTTCTTCTCGTGTTCTGTTTTTCAATTTTGTTTTTAATTTAAATAAGCCATATTGAAATTTAAAAAAAAAAATACGTGTTTTGTAATAGTCATGAATGTTAGCTACGATGAGTCTGTCAGCTAAGCAAGTCTGTTCAGTTATTGCCTTTTGTGCTTGCTTAAGAGCTATTCTCATTCTTAAAATAAATCGGAGAATCATAACATGTATATTTCTTTATTTTTAATTTTATAAGCAGCTTAGTAGCTGAGTGGATTTCCTGACAAAACTTGTAATTTGATTGTCAATGACCCCCAATTCTGCTAATTGACCAAACTACTCGTTGCAAATTATGTTTTTTGAGAGCAAATAACTAATCTGACACCAAAACGGGGGTAAACAGCTCTGCTACTGTGATATGATTGGATTAAATATAATTTAATTCACATAAAAATGTACACACCCTCTATCCTCGCCCTAAATGTGTTTGCGGAAGAAATTTAAATACATTATTTTTTATTAATAAAAGGACCCTACAGAATTGTAACCCTTTTAGTATAAACACACTCAAGCAGTTTTGCCCTAACCTCATCTGTTAGTATTCTAATGTTCCAAACCCTTTTATCACGCCATATATTGTGGTTCTTAATGTTTTTTAATATTTTTTAAATTCTATTTTTAATAATAAAATTAATAATGAATTTCAATCTATAAAATAATCGAGTTTGGGGAAACTAATTTTAAATGTAATTCCTTGATAATCATTTTTCTATTTAAATTATTTTTAAGTTCCATTTTTTCATATTTAAATTAAAAATATTTTGAAATTTTTTGGGTTGAAACGTTACAACTTATTAAAAGTTAAAGATAGAATGCTAATATTTTATGAGGTGTGTTAAATTAAAGTTTACAAAAATTATTTAAAAAGCAAGAAAATATATTTATTTTAATATATAAAGCATTCGTCAATTTTTTTTATATTGATATCGGAGTCTTTTGAAAATGTATTGTATTACAACAGATCCCGTGAGCAGGATTCGGGCACATATGTGATATGGCTCATCTAGCTGTTTTATGTGTACGCGAATGGTAATGATAAATATTGAACCTCACATTAGCTAAAAGCAGGTCTATACATCTAAATGTATTCATATGTTTAGATTTATTAAACAAACAAATGTGTGCTAAAACCAATTTAGGTTCAGCTTTAATATTGACATACAGAAATAAAATATTTAGACGTTTCAGCAAATGCATTTATCAGTAGAATATGAGGGTAAACAATAAGAGGGCTCACGTACCTTACAAAAAAAAAAATCACATATATTGGAAAGGAAGTGGGTGGTAGTAGCATTTAAAAATCAAACAGGAAAATACATTGCAGCTGCGCTAAATTGTGAATTTGGTTTAAACCGTATAATGTCAACGAAACAAAACTTGTTATTAATTTATTTTCCATTTAAATTCTATACAGTGTATTACTTACGCACTATATACCAGTAACTGATGCAACGTTTGTAATTCCATTATGGTTAGCCCTATTTAAATGTTTGGAAACTGGACAAAAGTCTTGTCCGGCTATGTTATACAAGAGTCTTTTAATTTGAGTGACAGCGTTATTTAAAATGTGTTCAGGATATTACCTAAATCAGCAAAAGTCGAACAATATCCGCCATTGTTTCTAAAAAATTATAATGTTTGCAACAAAGTTTTCTTATTCTAAGAAACTCAGAAAAAAATAAGACATTTTTACATGAATGAGGATAGGACGATGAAAATAGCAGAAAATGTGACAGCCTGTTGTCTTATAATAAATGGACGCAGATATTTGTTAAGTCTAATTTTGATGTCCAACAAAAAATTAAACGTTCGCTGACCATCGTTGAAGCAAATTAAATTGTTGAATGAAAATCTCTAATGAAGTCAATAAAAAGTTCTAGCATATTGCGTTCATGCCCTTATTGCTAAATATTCATCTATACATATCCTTTTATTATTCAGGGAAGGAACCTTTGTAGTTTTCTCTCCACCGATGTTCCAAATTACCCACAGATAAACATTCATAAGTTGTTCTGACTATCTTTGTCATTGCAAAACGGATGATCTGATAATAAAATTTGTCATTAAATTCGAACAAATTAAGATGTATAAAGTTATAAACTATCAAAACATCAAAGATGGTGTAAAGTTCTGCTGCCCTCATCGGCAATACTTGGAAACGTTTCTTGATATGTATTGTCCAAATCACATTTTCCAGTACTAGGATGATACATTTTAATTTCAAGCTGAGTTTCACTACCACCTGCAGCACTGTCTGTGGTTTCACCGATATTGCTAACATCACAAAAACGATCGTCTGGAGACAAAACATAAATGATTTTATCAAAACAATGAGTTCTTGTAGTATCATTAGTTCTGCTACCACAAGTAGGATTACCTGTGAATTCAACGTTTATAATACAACCACATGGAAGATCATCTTTCATGCGAAAATTAGAATGGTTACCACACGAATAAGTGTCTGTAATGTCAACGTTAGTTCCAACAGCCTGCCCTTAATCTTGGCTCCCTAACTGACAGTGTCTTGAAGTTGAACTTGAACTGTTACAATCAGAATTGCTAGTATCTCCGTTCCTCGTATCAATGTCCGTGTCCACCTTATTTATATCCATCTTAACGTGCTGAATGTTGCTAAGAAAAACAACTCTCGAAGTCAACACATCTTCATCAATAGTCTCATAAATATTGTGCTGGTCGGATTCGATCTGTTGCGTATTTTCATTGGGGTTGCTCGATTCAATCAAAATGTACCCACTTGTATCGTATTCATTATTGTCCCGATAGATTCCAGCATCGACTAAAATATATCCTTGGTTGATCACGTCATAATTGCCGGGCACTATCTTGCTTGTTACACATGGGAGACAACTGTCACATGTCCAGCGGGAATCTTTATGGGGTAGAAGTCAATATTCCATTAGTTATGCAGCCATTATTTTTATTTTAACGACTTCCTAATGAAGAAATACTAAAGTATTACTGTGTCTAGCACAATTATTATTTTTAAATATATTTGATATGAAGTTTACTAACTGTATTAGAGTAATATAAAACTTTTGATATTGTATTTTAAAGTCCTGGTTAATTAAAAAAAAAAATATGTTGCCTTGCTTTTAAATGGTCTGCTATTTAAATTTCTCAAAAGCCAACCACTAAACACAGATTCCAATATTTGTTTACATAACTCACCCTTCAGTTTATAGTAACCAATAACAACAAATATGAGTATTATCAAAGTGTTTCCACCAGCGATGTAGGCAATAACCTCTGTACTCCTAGCGTCATATGTATATTCGATAGAGTCTGTACGAAAGAGATATCACAAAAGAAAAATGTAAGTGACTGGTCTATTGTGTTATACGTAAAAATCAAATGTTAGCTCTGCAAAAGTAACTAATATTGATTCAGTTGGATATACACAGCTGCTTGTCAAATCATTGAATTTTGAAGGGCGATTTGTTTAAAACGCAATTTCAGCTAGAAGAGTTAGATTTGTGGGTAAGATCTAACAGAAACCTCCAAGTCTTGGGTACATCAAAAGAGATTAATCCTGTACAAATGAAACCTTAGCAAGGATACATCTATAATGGAATCATTCGATAGAAAGACATAAATAGCAATCGTTGACCTTTGCCTCAAGTCCCAGGCGGTCCAGGATTATGTAATAAACAAAGGACATTTTTAATACCCGTGTATGAATGAACATAAATTCAATGTAAACTAAAAACATTAATAGTAACTTTAGCATCAGTTTCGCATTTTTCGTTTCATATATATATTTTTGAACGATATTTTTGTTTCTAATAAAATATAATTAACCATGAGCGATCATTTTCTTTCGTTTCCTGTGAAAAATTTATAAATCGTATTTTTAAAAAATAAATGATACATTTTAAATTTAATTTTCTATAATACCAAGATTAGAAAGTCAGTTTCATTTTAAAGTTTCTCCAGAAAAAATTGATTAAGATATCATAAAAAGAATAGTACGCTAATTCCCGATAAAGATTCGACAGTACTCTATTTAAGATTAGTACTAACCTCGGATGTGCAGAAACACTGACCATGGATCAGCAAATCTCAAATCATTTTCAATACCGGTGTATAGTGTAACAACTAGTTCATAGTGACCGGGGTTAAAGGTCATTGTGTTAGCAGTGAAGACACATTGAGATGTGTAGTACGTAGCGTTACTCTGTACAAGTTCGTTAACTAATGTTATATTAGTTTCTGGAATGATTATCTTTTCCTGTTAAAAAATAAACTTAAACATTATGATTTAATTTAATACATTATTTTTAAAAGAAAAAGAAAATGGATCTTGATACGTTTATGTTCATAACTATAAAATGTTCTTTTTGAATAATATTAATAGTTCATGTACGAGTCAACTTCTTATCAATAAAACATATGGACATGACATTTACCCCCCTGAAACATATAGTAACATGGAACTATTTTCAACGCACGTTTTTGCCAATAATCACGACACGACATTTAGCCTGGGGATAAATTCTTGCGACATTGCAGCTCACATTGACGACATCATCAGTGCTGTCATTGACACAGGAAATGTCTTCAAACGTCACTGAAAAGTGTTTTTTAATTTAATATAATTGAAGGGTAAAAGAAAACATTAATATGGTATGTTTTATGTGTCAAGGATATGATTTTGTACTACATCTCTTTAAATATAGCCAATATATAAAAACACATATATATATATATATATATATATATATATATATATATATATATATATATATATTATAAACAAATATATATACCAGAATATATGACCCGATGTTAACGGGATACTAATGGAATGCATATTACGTTACTTTCCAAATGTTCCTGTGAAGTCTCAAGATCTAAAATTCCATTTTTCACGGTTGTAATTGAATTGAGTTTTGGTGCATTTGATCTTAAATAAAAGGATAGCTTTCCTTGTCAACGCCCTTGAAATGTATATCTATAAAATTCTAAATTAGACTTTTGTTATTTTTCAATACGTAGCTAAGTATAAATATTTAGGTTTCTCACATCATTAGGGTTGAGCATTTTCTCTTATATATAAAATAAGCAGATCAAACCAATTGGACCGCCCACGAACTACGAGGAAAACATATTTAAAAAATTGTAAAAAAAATGTTTTTAACCATTAAACAAAACAATAAATAAGTAGCTCACCATTTTAAATATCTCTAGCATTAACGGATTGTTTTGAAATGGTTTATTCGGTTTGAAAATTAAACCACCCTCTGCCTTGCTCCTTAATTGTATAATGATAAAATCTTTACTAGACATCTGTAATATTTAAAGACGAATCTCGTATCTAATTTACACGTCTTAAAGTATTTTGTACTCTATACTAGTGGCACTACAGATAGAATCTATATGGAGAAAAAATTAATAACTATATTTGGTACGTTGTCTCCATATGGAATGAACCAAATCCACAATTTTACCTAACTGCCATGTCTTTTTCCTGTTTGCTTTTTACAATTATATTAAAAAACTTCCTTTCTACTCCTCTTTACTTTGTTTTTATCTGGTTTTAGCACCATCTCCTATTTTTCTGTTTTAGGAAGGATATTTATAGTTATATTATGTAAATTTAATTTATACCTATTTAAATGTGTTTTGTTTGTTTGTACTGATGAAGGCATGTGCCTAAACGTTTACTTATGTATAATATATAATTATTATTAAAGCTCCCTTATATTGTTTTATTGACACAATTTGTGCGTGTCTTATTAATCTGTATTTTAAGAGCAATTCTCATTAAACTATTCCATTTCTCTCAAATATATTTTGCGCAAAATAAATATTTCCTTACATTTAAAGACAATCTTAGCCCGTACTTTTTTTTTCACACCACCTTCTGATTTGCATTTACAAAAAAAAAAATATGTACTCAAATTTTTAAGTTTAAATTCTGCATCCTGTACAATGATTGGGTTTTAAGATTTTTTTATCCACAAATATGTTTGACCAAAACTCAGCCCTACCCTTGAAATTTGTATTTTGAAGTAATGTGAAAATAACGATGTCCTTAGTTTGAAAGAAAAGAGTATCCTTCATGTTCCTTTTGCAAAAGTCACTAAGTTTTTATATATACATTTATTGATGTAAATGTGTCCACAATGTGTCCACGAAAAGTGACCTTGATCTTCTGACTTTACCGTAACACGTATTTATTATATTTTGGACGAAAATATTAAAACGTGTTCTTTACCACTGTCGTATCGGATTGAAATATCGTGCTATTCACTTAAAGATGTACTCATCCTATTTCTTCCCATTGAAAAGTATTTGAGGTAGGAAGTTTTTTAAAAAATCATTTTTTTTGTTCTTTAAAGTATGAATATACCAATTTTTGGTATGTAACCTGGTTGAAGTTTGAAATAGTGCTATACCAATCATATTAACCCACACAATCAATGGCGTATCTTGTCCTGCCTAAAACAAAGTAAATAAATCCTCAACACACAACTATTTTGTTAAGTTTTATCCCCCTTTAACGTAACTCCATTAATAACAAAGTCACTCACTTTATGCACAATCATAATATATTTTTCATGTTCAATTTAATAAGAGTATTTTAGTTTTCCTCGTTATTAGCTCAAATTTCGTCACTCATTTATGCAATTATATGGAATTTTATATTGTGGGCCATTGAAATCGGCGTTACAGTTTAACCTTATCAAAGTTTATATTATATAATANTATATATATATATATATATATATATATATATATATATAATCCTTTCAAAACAAACAAAAAACGAGCTGATATATTTATGTTAACTCAACACGTTTAATTACAATTTTATGAATTCATTTAGTTCTTTGGGTATATTATGTATTTATGTTTGCATTATAGTTTCTTACTATAAAGGATAAAGATGCAAATTGAGCGTAGCAGATACCATTCCATAAACTACATTTTATTCAATAACTCTATATGTATGTTTTATATTTTATGTTTTGTTCATAGTTTATTACTATCAATGTTATAAATGAATATTGTGCGTACCAGAGACAAGTCCATAAAACTCAAACTATATTTTTGCTATTGTTGTCACTATTTCTAAAGCTTTCTTTGTACATCGAAAATATTGACAAACGTTTAAATTAAGGCTCACAATCTTACGATATTTAAATACAATATAAAATTGTTATGGAAATTCAAATAACCCTGACTTTCGGTCTGTCAAAATAACTTTAAAATGCATATGAGATTCTTGTTATCAGTTGTTAGGAAAGCCCTTTATCACGTATGACACGTTATAAACTTCCATTTAAAAAAACGTTATTTATTTACTTATTGGAATAGAAATGTTTGCGTTTGTTCCTAGTTTAATATCGTCGTCATAAGTGTCCACAGAAGGTTGCATGACCACCACCACGTCATAAAGGCCGGGTCTGACGTCGGTCTTTAACAGGTTAAAGCCACAGTTTGCTGTTTGAGCGGATGGCGTCCATTGTATTCTTTCCATGTTTGGAGTCACCTTGACATTGGGTAAAACATCTCTTATCTGGTTAAAAAAAAATTGGAAAAGACATTGTGTGTTTCATTTGTAATGTTATGTAACTGCTATAGATATGTCTACACAGTTTTGCGTCAAAGAATTAAAATATCATTTTAAAAAATCCTAATATGAATTTTATTTAAGTCTAGTTTCCCTATTCATTCTAATTTTAAGTTTGCGTTTCACTTTTCTCTACGTTTACTTTTTTGTTTTAAATGTAACATAAATTATAAGCATAATAATAATACAAAGTGTAAAATATTATGAAAAGAGTTAGATTTTCTAAAATACCTACGTCATGTTTGTTAATGAAGTATTTACAATTCATGTTTGAAAAAACAATCGCACTGCATTTTAGAATGATTTTGTCTGTAGATATCTCATTATGACACCTGAAATTGTCAACTCTTGCTGGAAATAAATTAGTATAATACGGTAAATTATAGTGTTGACCTAGTTTTTCCTCATCCTTTATACTCCACAATTAAAACATTTTATATTCCGGCCATTTTTAAATATTATTAATTGACCACTTTAAATTGATTTTGTATACATTATTCAATGCTTTGGTTTGAACAATTCCACTCACCTATGTTAATCTTGCAGCTGACAGCATGATAGAATCCTTCCAAGCTGCAGGCTGCATACTTAACATTTACATTGATTTCCTGTGATTTGTTGTATACGCTGTAAAAAGAAGCTAATTCTCTCCCTTGTATGTCTTCCGTTGAGTCATTTGCTGAGATCATTATCAAACATGGAGATAGTTCCCCAATACAGACAAATGTGAAGTTCAAATCCGGTCCACTAATGTATTCCTCGCAATGGTTTCTGATGGTGTCCTGCTGTTTGCCATTGATAAAGACATGACCAGTGGTGCGGTTTCTATCTATTAGTGACATTAAAAAAACATCATTATATCAGATTATTGTTTGGGCAAATGCCCATAATCCATTACAGTCTACGCATAGAGACTATTTAATATAATTTTGTTCCTTTCATTTTATTAAAAATATATATTTCATTGAAAATGCAATTGAAAATGCAATTTTAGAAAAAAATCATTTGTAAAAGATTTATATTTTGTCCATGTTTAATATCCTTATCTTCTAAAATTAACATTGACAATAAAGAAAAACTTCCTAAGTTAACTGTTATTTAATTTAAGTGTATAACAAGACATACCGTATATGTTAGGGAACATCTGCTCCTGACCATATTTTTGTAAGTTATCAGACGATCGGATAGCGACTCCACGTAACCAGGCGCCACTGTATGAAACTGAAGCATTGAGCCTTATTGTAATTTCCAGAATGTGTTCGTTAGATTTCCTACATGCACATTTTTTTCGATTTAAGTTGCAATTTTCTTTTATGTTGACCAAACAGAGCTGAAAAAAAAAATCTTTTTTTTTAAATATTTTTTTTTTAAATGGCCATTTAAAAAATTGTTTTATAATTTAACGATATTGTATTAGCTATTATCGCTTTAAAAAATGTCTGAAAGTATATTTGGCTATGGCATTTAAAGGAAGATGGGCCGAGACGTTAACCTTATCGTTATCTTAATGACGCTGCTTCTTCACACACTATAATACGAACCGTATGTAATAAAAAAAAACACTTCATACTGCTACTTCAGTTATTACATAGGGTTTGATATGATTTTTTTATGTATCCAGTAAAATAAAAAAAAGATGATAATTTCAGTTCATTAGAAATAATTTTTAGGGAAGAAAATAGTGAAAGGAAGTTTGGTGTGCTTAAAATTAGTTTTTGGAACACAGTTAAATATAATATTTAGTGGCTCATTGGTCATACCTCTTGCAGTTATTTAAACTTACATGACGGTAATTTGATTCTTTTCTAGTTTGAAAATAAACTGTGCTCAAATCTAGGTCATCAGAAAAGTCAAGCAGACTTTTAAAAACAATTATATCCTCTCCAGCTAGTAGTCCATTTGTACATTTTGTAAGGCTGTCATTTTGGCTGTATGGAAGTATTTGTATATCTTGACTGACTAGAAGACATGAAAAATAATTTTCATGAAATAATGTTTACCGTAATAAACTTATTAGTCGAAACTTAGACTGCGACAAATATAACAGAAGCAAAAACTAATCAATACAACTCACTATATGAATCGAACTCATTAAATGCTTAATATTAACCTAGCTATTGTTCATGTATTCGCGTGTTTGTTGCAAAATGTTTGAAATACTAAAAGACCCACTTCCCGTCTTTGTATCGCACTGAAGCTTGGAAGATAGACTTATTCCCGATCACAATACATTCTGCCAAATTTTCAGCTCCTCCCCTTACTCGACAAAATCAGGATTTTCTTGTTTTTACATGAATAAAAAAGAAGGAAATGTGATTCTTTGATTTCTTAAAAACGATAGCCATCACTAAGTTGCACAAAAATACGTATGAAGGATTTGTACAAAAATGTTCGTTTTAAGGGGTTGTATAATTATTGTTTGAAATCATGACGATGTATTTTAATATTAACCTCCCTTTAGATGTCTTAACTTGAAACTTTTTATCTCCTATTTTCCAAGTAAATGCTTTTAATTGTCGATGTAAGGTATTGACTTATGGTGCAACATCTTTGACGTCTCTGTTAACACAATGCTCAACGTGCATAAGAAATAAAATGTGTTAATCCATGTCTTAACCCCTCTTTTTAGTCTATCTATCCACCCATCAATCCATCCATCCATCCATCCATACATCCATCTATCCATCCATCCATCCATCCATCCATCCATCCATCCATCCATCCATTCATCCGTCCGTCCATCCGTCTGTCCGTCTGTCTGTCTGTCTGTCTGTCTGTCTGTCTGTCTGTCTGTCTATCTATCTATCTATCTATCTATCTATCTATCTATCTATCTATCTATCTATCTATCTATCTATCTATCTATCTATCTATCTATCTATCTATCTATCTATCTATCTATCTATCTATCTATCTATCTATCTATCTATCTATCTATCTATCTATCTATCTATCGATCTATCTATCTATCCATCTATCTATCTATCTATTTATTTATCTATCTATCTTTCTATACATCTGTCTGTATAGCCATCTTAATGACTATTCATTTTCTTTTCAGCATCGAAAAGATTTTAAAAAAAAAATAAATGAATATATCAAGCAAGCAACAACAAAAATTTTACGAACACATTTAATTTTAAATCTTAAGTACATGTACGAAAAAAAACGACGAAAACTTATTTTACCAGTAGTAGTGATCAACACCATTAAAATAATACGAATGTTCCACTTCATTCTTCTTTTGGTTACAAAAGAAAGGAATTGAGTTACTCTTACGATATCTGTAATAATAAGTAGGCAATTAATCTAAGCTTTAGTCAATAGAAACGTTGAAATTTTAAAATTAATTTACATTGCTTTTAAATTTAGCTTTTTATTTAAATCATGGAAATTGCTGCACTGTTAAACCTTTCATTGACATGTATATTTCGAAATCTAAAAAAAATATTATCATATAAATAAAGTTTTATAATAAAAAAAAAACCCACTAAATTTTTAATTAACCATATTTTGTTTGTTTGCTATAACACATATTAAAAGAGTGTATCATGAACCACACACGAAACAAGAATTTGAACTATTCAAATAAAGTGCACTGCATGTGCTAAGTTGGCTAAATAGCTGTTTTGGATTCATCATTTCCATTTTAAAGAATAGGCTTCCTCCTTAGTGTCCAACGGAGATGTGTTTAAAAATAACACACTTGACACTTTTAATAGCGTTGTTGAAAGTATGTATCTTAATTTTCAAATTCACAAGGAAGTAAAATAACTTTTAATTTCAATCTTCCCCATACACACATATATTCACTTTTCTTCGGTCATCTTTGCTACATTGAGTGTGTTGTTACTTTACTGCTATCAGTATGGATAGACTAATTCCTGATTTAATTGAATATATGGCTCGTTCTAAAACAATACACAACAAAAGACGATACTCTCGTCTCTGACTCTGTCGTCTTTCGTTCAATTCCTCAGCTTTATATACCGGTATAGCCTGTTTCTTTCTTTCTTTCTTTCTTTATTTAGGCATTTTTATATAGCGCTTACCGTAAACCTCTAAGCGCTTTACAATTATTAAAAACATATAAACTAAGTAAAATAAAAATGAGACACTAGCATAGTAACTACTATACTATAGAAACAATTAAAATGGCTATAAAAAGAGGACACTTTGGCACGTTTTGGCCTATACTACAGAATTAATCCGAGACAGAAAATGAGGCAGGGCAAGGAGGGTGCATCACAGGTCATAGACGGACCTAAACCTTTAGACAATTTGAGAACAAAATACCCATGTAATCCTGTCTGAAACCTTCTACAATATTCTACAATACTCGAATCATGAAACAGGTCATAGATTTGTTAATTTTAGCCGAGGTGAAAGGGAGACTAACATTATTAGGATATACCCTGATAATAGCGCAGCCAAACTTTGGGTCAGCTAGAGTTCACAGCACGGGGAAGTATGACATAAAGACGTCGTCCGCTTCACAATGTCTACTGATGATTGTCTATTATAAAAACTATTTTATTATAATATATATATATATAAACACACACATAAGTATGAGAATAAACTAGGCTGACAGTAAATAACAAAAGAAACCAATTAATTTAAATACCTTCGGAATAAACAAAAACCATGATTATGTTTTTTTCTATAATTTTATGCAAAACGAAATAAATTTAAATGCAAAATAAAAAATAATAAAAATGCGGTTTTTACTTTAATATATGTTTATGAATTATTATTATAAATTGCAAATACCATTAAAATAGCAATTAAAAACAATTTTAAGCATTTTATCTGAATGTGAAAGTTATGATATTTTTGTATCAATAATATAAATCAAAGAATTATTTCATAAAAGCATAATCAAATTTTCTCTTGAAGACCCAAATATCTGTTGTTTTTATTGCGTTTCTTTTTGTGCGTTATTATTATTGTGAAGATAAAGAAAAACAAGTTTTCACTAAATTTCTTCAAACGAAATCAAAGTCAGCATTTATTCGTTTTTAAATAGTTAACATTATCCAAGAGTCTGTGACTGGCCTGTTCCTTGTTAGCTTTATGTTTATTGTGAACTCCCTTGGCCTTAAGGTGATACATAGCAGCTTAAAGTTGGGTGTACATACCACATGTTTCTTTCTTGTATTTTTTTATTTTACTGTAATTTTGGTAACAAAATATATCGCCAAACCTCCCATGGATTTGACGTTGTCAGTCAATTTATCAGAACAAATAAGTTAAATTCATCCATTTCTATTCCATAGGAATCCCATACTTTTTCGTTAAGCCATGTTTCTGTTATGTTTTTTTAAATGAGATTTCATGAAATTCGCTGAAATGATAACAGCAACAATCAAGCTAATAAGTTTTATTGACAAATGATCTAACGTTTCATAAACAAAGGAAAGAAGAAGAATTAGCTGTCCTCTTGTTCTGCTTTTCACTTTTATTTCCCTCCTTCTTTACTTCCACGAGATCTACGCTTCATTCGTGTGCCAAATTGTCTTTGTTGGTTCTCTTTTTTTATGTTTGTTAACAACATGGCCGTATGTTCTACTAGAGGACGGTTGAGCCTTAGTACTTTTGTGGCTAATTCTTGTCTTGACCAAAGTCCACACTAATGTTGCTTTTTTACGACAAGAAACACTAACAGCATGTTTATCAAGTTCATTGTTACTTGAATAAAAAAAAACAGGACGCAAAGAAACATTTCATTTTCATTAAATGTTATAGGAAACCGTAAACATAATTTATTGATAGTTTGTTCTTAAAAAGCTTTTGGTAAAACAAACTAAAAAACGTTGCAATATATTTACATAAGTAAAGCAATGAAGGATTTTTGACATGTTTAATGTGATACTTTAATAACAGATGTCAATGATCTAATATTGATAATTATTTGTAAAGTTATTAAAATATATAATATAAACAATATGTTATATACAATAACTTATTTACCTAACAAAATATATATAAAGTGTAACAACTAATTGCTATTACAAAAAGTTTACAATGAAAATAAAAATTACCAAAGTCTTCAACAGTGTATAATCTTGAGAACAGCCTTTGCTTTTGCCTGAAAAAAAATATAAAAAAATTATGATGAAAATATATGTCTAACAATTTGTTAAATGTTCGAGATTACTTCTTGTGCATTGTGTTACTTCATCAGGTTAAAAGGTATGTTAAAATAAAATACACTGGGAATGTTATAACACAAATAGTTGTATTTAAGTAAAAATAAAATATTAATACAGCAATAACATGAATAACTGTTTCCAAAACAAAATATGAAAAAGAACATACAGAATTTGGAAAAACCTGAAAAATCACAAGACAAAACAGAGAGAACCCTAGTAGAATGTCTATTGCACTGCATACAAAATGTTTCCCAAAAGAAGGACTCAATGAGATTTTACCGGAAAACTTTGGTCTCTTTGAGATTGAAATGTATATGCTCTCGAATGGGGGAACATTTGAACACATTTAATCCTTCTAAATTGTGTGTCATCATTTACACTCTCATCTATACATATAATATGCCAGAAAAACAAGGGCATGAAGACAAAGAAGACAACGACGCAGGCTATATATAGAAAACACGCCAGAGCTAGCCAGCAAGATTCAGGCCAAACCTCCCTTTCCTTTTCCTGCCTGCCTATCGTTGGACATGAGGCATGCGCACTGCGATGGAGCTACCGCCCACCCCTCGTGCACTACCCTCGCTTGCAAAGCCATGAGCACACCCAAACAAGCTCGCGGCGTATGCTAAGCCGCGGGTCGGCTATATTTATAGAGTTCATGGGCGTGAAATAAAAAGTTTGCAGTGACGTATCATTATTTAAAACCGGAAATGAATTAGGCATTTAAATATTTTTTAATGAGTAGAGTAAAATTATTTTACTGTGATTTTTCAAACGAATCATTGAAATTTTCCTTCATAGTTGTACATCCATCATTGTATTTATTGCGATGATAAGAGATATTAAGATTATTTTTTGTTCAAAATAAAATCCTATCAATTTTGTCTAAGTTCATATGTCACTTACCCATACAATTCAGATTATCCACAGATCAGATGGTCCAACCCAAGTCTTACAAATTAAAAAAGAAAAACGTACATACTATACATCTAATAATATCCCTACAATTTGAATCCACAGCACGTTAACTTTCCTTGTCGATGTTGCTTTTTTTTTTTTAAATTGAATATATTTATCAACTTTTAAATATATCTTTCAACGTTGAAAATGTCTTTTTTTTTTAAAGATTTCATTATTTAGAGTGATTATTCTATCGTTATTAATTAATATGTGTAACAAAAAAAAAGTGAAATGCATTTCGAGCAAAATTCCGTTTTGTTATGATCTATTCCACAATTATGTTTCTAACTTATCTTATTTAAAGGCAGACTTACGCCATGAAATTATAAGTTATTTTCTAAGAATAGAAAAAATACTTTAAAAAAAAAATAAAAATAAATAAACCATTGGTTAAGTTAACACAGCAATTAACATGAAATAAGAATAATCATAGAAGGCAACTAGTATTTTGTTTTGCTGGGAATTTCCTCGGGAGGTAAGGAAGGATTTTGTGTGGAGGTTAAAAAGATAACTATATATGGTCACGTATGGTCTTGTATGGTCTCGTATGGTCTCGTATGGTCTTTACAACTAGGTGCAAGGTGTGCAGCAGGAGTAGCTATTAATTTTATTGAGTACCGCTGTCTCAACCTCATTGTATTTACTGATGGGTTAATTCACTCTGCCTTCACCTTAGAGTTTGTAACATTTTTCAAATTTGTATTTTCCTAATTTAGTGACACTCCGAGGTGAATGAGACCCTTGTTATCTGGAGGGTTAAAGGAGTATAGGATCCAGCTGGCGAACAGCTCTATAATGACATGTGTTGACACAACTGACAAAAGAGACACCATGTTTGTTATCATTTAAGGAATTTGAAAAAGTAAAATTTAGATCTAGATGTAAAAGTGCCATATCGTAGTAAGAGCTCGAGAAAAGAAGGACATCGCTATTTGTATAGCAATACCCACGAGAGTGCACTTTTCATCCAAGCGGATGGGACTCGTAGACCTTGAATACTGAGTCTTATAAGAGAATGAAACCCGCAGATGGAATACCGTAGGGCGGTATGACATTGACAAAATGAAAATTCCGCCAAGCCTTGGGACGTGGAAAGCATAAAGAGCACATTGAGACACAAAGAAAACTGCTGGTTATCTACTGCATCCTGATCTATTTCTAGTTATCTGGCCATTGGAACACATAGAAAAGGACTAGAGAGTTAGGCCTACGAACTGAGCAACGCATCATCTGCCAGACTTAGATTAGAATAGGTCTTGTTCATTTTATGACAGGAATATACCTTTAATGTTGAATTGCATGATCTTCAGAATACCTTTTGAGAGGCTAATAAACTATATGCAATATTTTAATGCGAAACAAATTCGTTATGTGTAAAATTATTCGTATTAAATGTGTACTATACCATATCTCTCCCGTATAAATCACAATAGTTTCCCAAAAATGAAAATAATAAAAACATTGATTAATAAATTTGAAGCTAAATAATATTTTGCGGGAAAAGAGCTACATTAAGTTTTGTATTGTTCATTTGCTTTCCGTGTTACAAGGTGTCCCACATTGCTTGTCCGGTTAGATTACTGTGCCTCTTAAAAAAAATTCAACGTCTCAAACCACACGAACGTCTCCAAACACAGGAGCGTCTCAAAACATATGCTCATTTCAAAGCTCATGAACATCGTTAAGAGAATGAACGGTTTAAAGCCCATTGATTTCTAACCAATATAAAAGCGATTAAACGTTTCAAGACATTAACACGCTTACAAGAACATGTACTTTTCAAAGTGTACGAACCTCGAGAAGTGCATTATGAATCTCGATTAAATAGCAATTTTAGAATGGAAAATACTTATTTTTAAAAATTGGTTTCGTAATTTTATAAAATATTGGATTTAAATATATTCTTTTGGGGTCATTAATTAGAAACTGAAGATTATGAGACGTTTGTTAACAATCTTCAAAGTGTAAATATGTCCCTTCCTATAGAAGGTCATTTTCCCAATGGCATAGAATGTGTTGCATTTTTAAAATTTAAAATTAAATGACTAATCTATTTTAAAAAAAAAGTTATTACTTTTTTAATTTGTATTTGTTTATAAAATCACTATTTGATATATTGCAGTAAATCATATTTGCCCTGCATTCTGCAGACGCGTATTATAAACTAAAAAGTAAACTATATACACATCATCTAAAATTTAATTGTGTCATCTTTCTTAGAACAATATCTTTCTTAAAAGAATTATAGGTGTAATAATTATTATAAATAAGTATAGAATGTTTTTTATTGTAATGCTAGTTTAAAGCTGTATGCAGATTTAAAATAAAGCGAGTGGCTATTTTTATTGGAGTTTGATACGAGGTATTGAGAGTTTCCTTGTTTAAACAATGGATTATTTTTTATTGACATTTAAGTAATATGCATATTGTCCAATCGTGAAAAGAAATAGTCTTAAACGTTTGTGCAATAGTTATTAATGACCTACCGATGTATTCTTAATATGGAACAGTAACTAACCTAATCTCTTTGTTAACTTCTAAAAAATTGTATTTTTTAGTTGTGGTTTTTTTTAAACTGTTGCACGTGGTTATGTCAATGTTAGTATGGAATTATCTAGCAACAAGTTGTTACTTTACCTTATCTCATAACAAAACGAGTCTTAATTTTGTTTATTTAAAATCATGCATATTATTCAAGTGTCTGTCAGTTGCTTGCTATTTGTTAGCTCTAGGTTTATTGTAAATGAGGACAATGCAGTTATTGGTGAACTCCCTCGGTAGACAATATGGTCTTAAGGTTACCCACAGAAGCTCAATGTCGGGTGTACAGACCATGTGTTTCATTGTAGTGTTGTTCATGTTTCAGCAATTTTTTAGTTGACATAAAAATATTAAAAATACCTCCCTTAGATTTTTCGCTGTCAGTCGATCTATCAGAACGAAAAACATTAAATTCATCCAGTATCATTGACTCCTGAGTCTTTAAGTCGAGGACATTAAGCCTAAATTGCTCAATTTTTTAAACATTATTGTATCTATTTTTAAAATAATATTAATATCAGGTTACCTTGAGTCGGAGCACTGTCTGAAAGTCTCAAATACAGTTTTTCGAGTTGTTCCGGTGCGATTTGTGATGAAGTTCTTCCTGTGGATTGAACACATTTTTATTTAGACATAAACGCTACAATTGAATATTTACAAGTGAATACCTCTAGAATTGATTGTATACATCTTTGTATGAATGATTAGCAATTTAGCGAGAATAACTGCATAACACGTTGTAACCAAGTAACTGAAAAGAAATGGCACGTGTAACTTTGCATTACTCGCTAATGTTCGGAGCAAGGCATCTACGTAGAAAAAACCGCAGGTTGTACCGACTAACATATGAATGCCGAAATCTCAACTCACTCTATAGCATTAAAACTCCAAAATTCTAATTTAAAACAAACATTTTTTTTTACCTTGTTTGCAGTAGGCGTAAAACACAATAGAGAAATAAAACCAATTACTTTTCAAGTGTTAATTTGAAAGCTGGGATCTCAGCATATTTTATATGTGAGTTTACCGTAGAATGTGATCAAATGATTTTGAAAATATGATGATGCCAATGTTTTCCAGTTTTAATATTTTTTAAAAAGTTTGGCCATGAGATTCAAATTGGTGGTTTTTCACCACACCAAATAAAGAATACTTTTTAATTTGATCTCTAATGTTAAGGCTGTAGTAGATCGGTATTTTTTGGTAATGTGCAAATCACATTTTTTTTTCTTTATATAAACCCTTCTAAAAAAAAAAAGAAGGCAAACACGTCTGTCGGATACAGTGTGCTGTAACAGAGCTGATCAACCACTATGCGGACTGTAACATGCAAACCGTGCCGCGGCTGAATGCGGTAATTGTTTTTGTGTTTTAACCGATGGCGCTGTAAGCAATGATTGCTATTACAAAATGAGGTGTAACAGTCAAAATAGTAATGTTGCACTAATCGGTAATCTTTAGTGTTACTGTTTTCTTTCTTTTTAAACCTTTTAGATGAGCCTAGTAAACTATTGCAATATAATATATTATTTACAGGTGATTTATTACGAAATTAAGTATTTCCGATAAAATATCACAAAACATGGAAATAATAGAAACAAAATCACAAATGGCCAGCTTTTTTCATCGCCTTAAAAAAATGGGAATACAAATTTAATCATTATTTTGTTGTAAGACAAATTACTCAGTTTTCTTAAGGTTAAATTCTAAAATTAAATTAACATACGCCATAAATCATGGAATTTTATTTAAATCTTAACCTTAAGACATAACCAGCTCATCAAACATAATCAAATCTTCGGTAACAATTGATTACGTGCATGACCAATTTAAGTACCTGAACAAATTGCAAGCTAGAGAGCACTGCTGACTCTCAAGAGAGCTAACTGTGTGATGGGAAAATATCTATAGGCCGACTGAATAGGACTAAGCAGAGAGTGGTCGTTAAAGTACACACACATTTGTGTTTTTTGTATTTGAATTAATTTTTGTAATGACTTTTGATAAAAATGATAAGTTAGATACAGGTTCATATTTTTAAAAAAAAATATTTTAATCCAGACCAGGCTTCATAAGGAAAGGTCTGATGACAGCTGAGTTACAAAGAGAGAGAGAGAGAGAGAGAGAGAGAGAGAGAGAGGGGGGGGAGAGAGAGAGAGCAGTGCCAGGAGACAAGCTTTTTTGGACCATGCGAGTTAACGCTGGGAGTAATTGATAGAAAGACTCAGCCATCACGGGGTAGAGATAGGGTCCAAAGAACATGACGTAGGTTTAGATTTTAGAATATTACTTGTTACCTCTTGTCCTGAAACAGGAATAAAACCATCGAAATGTAAGCTGACACGAGAAAAAGGGGAGGCAAATCTAGGAGGCGGTCACGACGATCAAGTTCAGCATGAAATTCAGCGATTTTGCTTGTGAAGAAATTCCAAAAAAATATCTGGTTGCCGGGGCAACGGATACACTGCAGGAAGGGAAGTTTCTTTGTTACTTCCTATAAAGTGACTACAGACGCTGGATACGTGCCTTCTGGTTTTAGCCATAAGTATCAGTTTACTAAAATACAAAATCTTAGCACATATTAACAATCTGAGTGACACGCTTCTTGGCAGCTGAATAGATCTGCTTAAAAACAGCGAGAACCCACATCAACCACTTATTTTCTGCCCTACGCCCCTCTTTCTAGGCACTGCGTAGTTTTTCCATTATGGTCACATGCCAAAGAGCTGACCGCGCTGACGTAACATTGCGGTGGGTGACGGGGGCGTGCTGGTCAAGCGCACAGCGCAATGCATGGTCTGGTGTTTCCAAAGTAAAGCAGAGGGGCGGGAGACACTTAACTCAGGCTATGCTTAAAGGCATCTCTGTTTATGACTTTTGGAGTGCGGGCCTCCCTGAACAAAGAGGGAGGAGGTGTTCAAACACGAAGCTCGAAAATAACACAATATTTCAACCTGAAAGCTGTCATTTAGATTAAATAAAACAATATATCATAGTTTTCATCAATTGCAACTTACCGTATCCGTTTAATTTTTTTGAGCATACAACGAAAGAATCATACACGATGGTCCAGTTTCCTATTGTATTTAAAATGTCGTCTTTGGAAATATCGTAGATGTCTATCTCTAACCATACTTTGTGAGCTGTCAGATGGTTGTAAGTAATATTTAACATTTTTTTTGACAAATTTTTGCACTTGTTAGAGCTAATATTGCATGAAATTACTGTTAAATTAGCTGCCTCGACAACAACCTCTGATTCGTCAAAATATGAATGAAATGAGCAATGGAACTTCAAGTGGTACGGTACTGGCATTCTTTTCTCACAATTTTCCAAACCTGTATCTGAAAAATATTAAAATTGTAAAAGACTAAAATATTTGCGGGATTAGAAATAAGTACATTTCCTATACTGTGAAGACAAGAGATTAAGAAATCAGAGAGATATTGTAGTTAGCATTGTGGAAAAAAAGTCTACTGTGGAAGTTCAAGTCTCTCGATCAAACCCTGAGCCCTATTTAAGGCTTAACTTACCAATAGTTTTATATCTCTGAAAAATTTTCATATTTATTACAATTACTGACAAACAAATCTGTGAAGCTAAATCTATTTGCATAATGCTATGGGTCTTATTTTGGGATAAAAACTCAAAGTATCTTGTTGAAATCCAATTGAAATGTGATATAGCTGACCGCCAGATGAACGACTTGTTACGTGTGGTTATAAACTCAAAGACGGCAGCTCCCGTTAACTAACCCTTTGAAAGCTAGGTTGCGGACATAAGTTACTAAATTGGCACAATACTATTCGAAAATACAGGTCAATGGCTTTTAGAGACTTTAGACATCTTTCCACAAGTAATAGTATGCTAAAGCCTTAAAACTTTTTGAAAATATTTGTAGAAAAAAATATATACTTCAATGGCGTAAGAAAGTGAGTTGAAACATCGTGAATGCGGATAATAATATTTTAAAAAAAGAAAGTTAAAATGTAATCTTTAAAGATAAAGTCATACTTGTTTTTCCATTTACCGAAAATATTTTCAGGGCGCTTGAACATGAAATTTCCTGGTGTTTACATTCTGTGCAAAATTTGCGTATATTTTATGAGATTAATCATATTTCAAAAAACATACTGATGTCAGAGACGTGAACTTTGGTAAATATATTTTTCAGTATATATAAGAATTCTGTATTTTCCGAAAGAATTCCATTAGTATAGTTTAGGAACAATTTAATTGGCTTATTATATTTTTAATGAAATAAATATATCAAGCTGAGATGTTTACTTTATGGATTTAAAAAAAATGGACATAGCTTAAACATTTTGAAAACGTATTCTTTATGGATGAGGGGCGTGAATTTTATTTTTTATTTTTGTACGCCTATATAAGATTGTATATTAAAACTGATGTTAGAAACGAAAATATCTATACGTAGATACACAGCTTGTTCTTACAAACTGGTTTACAACCTCATAAATATACATATGGATAAGGTCTTTATACATATTTGTTATATATATATATATTTTATCTTGAAGTTAGGATACAACTAGTTTCCATTTAGTTACATACTTATACATTTGGCTTTTCGATGCTAAACCTTGCACAAGTATGGAACATGCCTTTTATTTTTCATTGTTACACAAGTAACCACGGCTTATATTCTCTAGTTTTTATATAATACACAAGTATTAAATTACATTTTTTTAAAATCATGTAGTAATTATCTAACTTGTTAATGAGGTCGATTAAGAATTAATTTTCATATGTACATTAATTAATTGCTTTATTTACAATGTTCTCTTAGCAAAAATATAAAAGTATCATTTTGGGAAAGAAACCCTTGGTATCTACTGATATCCTTAAATAAATTGTTGTATTATAATATTAAGATTTCGACTGCTCTATATTAATGTCTTCGTTTACTATAGCAATATGGAAATGACTGGCATTTTTATAATAACTTTGTTTTTAAAACTAAAAATAATATTAGAAAAAACAAAACAATATAAACTATTGAAAAAATACTTGATACAGCATTTAAAAAATGCTCTTATGTCGAAGAAAAAGCAACCAAATGAACAGACCTATAGGCAGTGTTTCGTTCATAAAAAATGTATTTGCCTTTCCATGTCCTTCAATATCTGGATGAATGATGACATTTCCTACACCTTGAAATTTATGTGTTATTGGAAATTTTGAGAAACACATGGATAGAAAATATGTAACTTTTCCTGGCAACTTGATATGACTGTAAAGTATTTTCTGTTTTGAAACGTTGGAGGTGTTCTGTAGAATGATAGACAAAAAAAGGGAAAAAAAAGGCAGTGAAATAACTCATTACGTAAAAGAAAAAATATGTTTTCTCATGTGTAATACAGATATTGTTTTCTCTTTTTAACGTGCTTTTCAAATGGTTCATTATGCACTTGAATAAATATTTTTAGTAAAAGAAGCAATATAATCAACATTCAAATGTTATTAAGTATATAAAATGTCTTAATAAAGAGAATCATTATCTTTCTTAAGAGTTAGGGGCCTAAGATTGAAGGAATTTAAAAATGTCTTTATAGCATCTATGTCATCATAGTGAAAGTTATTTTTTGTTAAACTTTTAACATAGGTTAAGTTCTAAGTTTAAAATAAATTATTCATCAAAACGCAAATACTTAATCACAAGGGATATCATGTTATATCTCTAAATATGTAAATTAAAAACAAAATTATAAATATTAATCATAAGGCTTTGACAAAATAAGTGGTGGAATATTTATGAAACTGACCTGAAAATAATATTTTAAAAAAAAATTAAATTAAATTAATAATTAAAGTTCTGTCTTTTTTGTTTTCCTTTTCACTCTCAGTAGGGCAAAGGCAAAGCTACATATTTCCATGCCTGCCGTATTTCTATAATTTTTGAAATCTCTGTCAACCTTAAGCTGCTTCTAGCCTTTCTCAGTACGCCATGCATTTTTAACCAGCGTAACTCCCCAGCTCCACACCCTCTTTCATCACTTTAATGTCATATCTGTAACATGTTGTTTGGGACATCAAGATGTTAAAGGTCATTCTAGAGAAACTACTTATAATGTTTTGCATTGATTTTTAAACTTTTTCTTCCTTAAGTTACGAAGTTACAATCAAATGGCAGCAGCTTTCTTTGTTGAGGCTTTCCAGAAATGAGGAGATTTGTAGGTGCTGGGTTTCATTGGCGGGTGCAAGTACTTTGCTGAACAATTAGAATAGTAGATTGAGTAGCCCTTGAAACAAGTAAAGTATCCCCTTCAAAACCATATATATAATTTGTATAATTTGTATGAATACATATTCACATTTAAAGATCATCCATAAACGACTGAATCTTGAAACTGCCAATTAATGGAAACCAATAGCACGTCTGCAAGTCATCTTTGATGTTGCTGTATATGACATAGCGATTTTAAAAGAGATTAGAAGCATCAAACTTGTTGAAAGTTGAAAATCGACTGAGACTCGTTGCAACGCTCCCTCCGAGTTATTGTGGATCCTTCAAATATAACATAGCAGAATGAAATCGCCTTCTGATGGTTAATTTTAATTTAACAGACATTAAGTTTTAACGATCTTACCTAGAAAGTTGACGAACACCGTAGCGAAAAAATGTTTCGTGAAATTGACAAGTTCAACAATAGTAACGTAGACACTTAGGCAATACGAATTTGTGAAATCATAATGGACGATCTATATCCCAAAAGATCAACAATAGAAATATACAGCTTATATGATTACCTTGAAACTGAATTCACAGGTAATCGATGGGTAAACTTGTGATGTCAAACACGTCAGCTGCAGGACTTTATTGCATGCATCACTGATGCAACGAACATTGGGAGGTCGGGCTGAAAAATGAAAGAAATAATTTTTAACAAAAATTGACTTTAAATATGATTAAAAATAGTAATAATTATTACCACTGGTTGTTTGAATGTTGAAGGATTAATTATAAAAGATACTTTCTGATTTATGTTTCTGTGGGTGCCAGTAAGTCTCTACTAAAATTATATATACCTATAAACTAAGAATTAATTTTTAAAAATGTTGACGAACAACATTTTACTGATACCACTAAATCGTGATTTGCTGTTAACAACATTTTACGATTTTGCACAGATATAGAAATTGGGGATTTTTATTATGTTTAAAGCTACAAAAAAAAAGTATGTATGTTTTATTTCATGAATGTATGTTCTTCTTTTTAGCCGATTTATTGTCTTTGGCAGACTTGATAAAAGCATTCATATTGTGTACATAATAATAAAATTATAGGTAATGTATGCAAAATAGACCATATATGAACTTACAGAATACATGCACAAAGCAGGAAGAAACTATTTCGTTGTTGGATCTGACAGTCCATTTTCCTTCAGCATTCAAGTATTTTTTGTCTCGCGTGATTTTAAAAATTGTTACATTAAGTGTGGAAATGTAACTGGATTTTTCTTTTGAGATTCCAACTGCAATTAATCTAGAAAAATTCGGTTTGCATAAGCTCTTGACCACATCACATTTTGCAATTGGGGTACCGGTACCTTCATTTAAAATCAACAGATCGGTTGGGTCTATATGTTCAGATAAGTTGACATTTAATTTAAAATTGTATTGGCTTCCCTCTTGTGCAGGATCGCAGTGATTGGCATAATTATCTGCGGGATAAATAAGGAAACCTAATTTCAAAATTTTGATTTGATTTTCAATTTCTTCTTTTTTATTGTTATTAACATTATATTGAAACTAATTAAATTATGCTATCATATAATTATTTTTTTTCTAATGAACTATTTATTATTCATTAAACAAACACACACTCGCCAATACAAAGTTGGTGCCTGAAATTTTAGAACTGTTTATATGTATCTTTGGTCTGCTGATTTAAAAAAAGGCCTCTTTTATTAAAATTTTCTTATATCTCTAATTTTTTTTTAAATACTCAATATATGAAATTTTAAGAATAAAGCAACGTATTAATTATGCAAACAAAAGTGCTTTTTAACATTTGCTAATTTCCTATTTAAGACGCATAGTTATGGTCCAAACATTCGAATTAGTCCCCCAAAAATCTACTTTTGTATAATTTCTGAGAGTAGGATCTGCATGAGAAATTCCGCAGAAGATCGAAAAAATTCATATTTTTCCTTGCCTCTCTCCTCTTTTGCAGGTTTATGGCTTGGGGACACTTTCAAGATTTGCTTCTAAAATAAGTATATCGTAAAAGAAATTTAAGTGACTATAATAAATCTCTTCACACCATAAACAAACTTAAGACTTGGGAAACGATTCATTGTTATTCATTGATGCTATATATTACATTAAGAAATGGCATCAGCGGGCCGTCGAGATTGCGCGCTTTATGCCCTCCCCAAAACACCCCTCCCCAACCCGGTATCGGGCCGCGGAGCGGCACGTCAAGGATGTCTCTTTGTCAGGACAGCCCCCACCCGAGTCTGCTCGACCAGACGGGGGGCCATCCTAACCCAAAGACACCCGGTCGGTTGAATGATGAGTTGAGTTTTTTATATGCCTACTGTCTTTCCTTTGAGTAAAAATGCAAAACATAGTCTTTACCATAACTACTAGAACGATGAAAACCATAAAATACCATTAATAACAAGAAGCCTAGTTACTTAGTTTATAATTTTATGAATAAGGAAATAATTTATATATCTTTCTAACTACAATCCAATTAAAAGCTGATTTTTTACTTTAAAAAATACTTTTTTCTTGAACGTCTGGTATTTAAAAGGAATCACAGTGCAAAATTGCAACTTTTTAAAAAATAAACAAATAATCAATAGAGGTTTTTGATGAAATATATTTTTTGCACACTAAATAAATTAGCGTGTTTTTTTCATCCTAATAGTTTATCTATTTTAATATATTTTTGTCTCCAATAATTAAAGAAAAAACTTCAAGCTACATTTAGAAATAGCGATGCAACGCTATAACACACTGATTTATAAATATGAAAGACAAAAATCCACTCAGAAGAACCATGATGTCATTAAATAATAATAAAATATTGCTTTCGGTAAATTTTGGAAGTTAAAATTTCCTTTCCTTGATAAATGCAAATGTTGGTTACAGGCTAAAGTACATTCCGTGGTTAAGCCTTTTAGACGATTACTCGTAAATATCTATGTTTCTTATCATATCGGTCAACTCAAATTTATCAAAACTTTCACTCCTTGAATTGTTTCGAATCACTTTTACTGTGCACAATTTCTTTAATATGTCTTATAAAATATTTTAATTCTGTGAGCTAAGACATTAACTGCAAGGATGAGCGCTTGTCACAATTATCTAAATCTCAAGACAACAAGAATACTTTTATTTTATTTTTGTGTTCACCTGTGTAATGTCTGTGTTAAGAATCTGAAGGCAAATAAATAAACAGAAGATACTTTTTACTGACCTTTATTTAATGCAATGTTTAGCAAACTTTGTTAACCATTGATCTTTATCTAATGCAAGTTGCAATGTCCTCAAAAAGCCTATAATTGTTCTTTCATTTTTGAAGATAGAAACAGTTTAATTATTCACGGCAAACGTTATGACCTGTCTAGCATATCTTTGTTTATTGCATTTGCTATGAAATGAAGTAGGAAAATATAGACAATTAGCTGATTGAAATTAATAATACAATACTAACTCGGGAGACTTTCAAATGATTGAAACGGTTGCCCTAGTTTGAAATAATTTTGTTAGAAAGGAGAAAATACCTTTTAAATGTTCGAATAATATTCCAATCTTCAGTAGAAAGTCTGCAGTGAACTTTAAATTCTTCCATTTTTGACGCATGATGATAATCTGAAATGTACTTACATTTTATAGTTGATCAATTGATAGATCATAAATCCTCTAAGCTTAAAAAAAAGTGACACTTAAAAGGTTTAATGCTATTCCAAGACCAAGAATATTTGTTGGTACCTATTATAATAATAAATGTATTTATTATATCAATAGAAATATGACTGTGGCTATTTGGACCCGGTGTCAGAAACGAGATGTTTGGTTTATTAAAAAAGTAATAAAAATATTATTGTAGGGTTTGTACGACAAAATCTGGTATCAAATGAACTATAACTAAATTCTTGAGTTTAACTAAATAAACTATGACAAATGATATGCGAATAGCATTTAGGCTAAAGGGACCCGGGTCCGAATAGCGGCGATCCCTGCCCGGGTCCATTTTGGTATCAAATTCGGTATCCAATTAACCACTTCGTATAAATATAGTGTTCGATAACATTATCAATCTGCAAAACTTAATGTGCAACAACAACGTTTGAAAAGAAATAGTTGGGTCACCTAAATGAGAAATAAAAGTAAATTTATTGACACATTCTTTAACCGAAGTGGCTATTCGGACCTTGGTCTGAGAAGTGAGAGGTTGGGATTAAAATTTAAATGAAAAATATTATTGTTAGGTTGTAAGACGAAATTCGGTATCAAATGAAAGATAATTGAATGGACTTTATGTTTGCAAACTTACTTCTTCAGTTTAACTAAAATAAACTACAACAAAAGACATCGGAATAGCATTTAATCTAACGTGACTCGGTTCCGAATAGCGGCGATGCGTTTCCAGTTCCATTTTGACTAAATGCTAGTCGGATGTCATTTGTTGTAGTTTCTTTTAGTTAAACTGAAGAAATAAATTTACACAAATTTATTCCATTCAATTATCTTTCATTTGATACCAGATTTAGTCGTACAAACCCTACAATAGTTTTTAAATATTTTTTTAATAACCCTAAGCCCTAAACTCTCAATTCATGGGCCCTTGTCCGAAAACCCGCAGCCTTCTTTAACTATAAAATATTATTTTATTTGTTTAACCTTTGAGGATCAAAGTATCATACAGTTAAATTAAACACACATACAAAACTATTTATTGACTACGTTTAATCATTATTTCTCTTTATGTTTATTGTTTTTCAGCACCCATGAGACAAAATAAATCGTCCATTTTAACATATGAAACTTGATGGCTCAATTATACAACTTTTTTTACTAAAAAATCAAATAATATTTTGTGTTATTTTATATATATATATATTCCTTGGCCTTTTTTAAAATAGCATCTGCTGCTGTTCAAATTCATTTTTGTGTGTGTGTTCTTTTAATTTTGTCATTTCCCATCCTCTGACTTACTACCTATTATGAGGCTGCGTCTCTTGGTACATTCTTCATCTTTATTGTCTTCATGCGAAATAAAGGATATAATTTTGGCAGGAAATGCCCAAGAATTTAGACAGGTTTTAAATTTCTACCCTGCCTTTGAGCTTTAGATGGAACATCTTATAACGTATAGACAAAATTTACATAGTTAAAAAACTCAGTAACAAATTCGCATTGAGAGAGTAGATTTACACTAGTAACTAGGTTATAGACGTCATCAATGTTAATATAGCTGAATCAACAAGGACCTTGCATAATTTAACATAACTACATGTATTAAACTTGTTAAGTATTTAAAGAATAATTATTTTAAATCTATCTGAGTATACCTTGTAATAACATTCACCAAATAAATTAAAAGGCTCGTCTGTTTCAAAAATGACTCATTACAATGTAATTTACATACAATGTTGTGACAAATGATTTAGGAAATACCCAAAATTTCTCAGTATAATGTAAAGAAATCAAGTTTAAATTCTATTTTAGTTCCGTATTTTAAAAAAAAAGAAAAAACAAACAAACCTTTTTAAAACACTTTTTTCTCATAAAATACAATTTACAACATATATATCAATTAGGAAATTAAAAAAAAAAAAAAAAAAAAAAAAAAAAAATTTTTTTAAAAAAAAAAATTTAAAAAAAAAAAAAAAAAAAAAAAAAAAAAAAATTTTTTTTAAAAAATTAATATATACAAAAAAAAAAAATGATATGTCGTTGGCAATATTTATAATTTGGATGGCGCCATTTTTTTTTTTTTTGTAGTTCTGGAATGAAACAGTCCTTAAGGGACGAATTAAAAGTCAATTCAAAAGTGTCTTGAAATTGAGTTCGAATTTTTCTCTCAGGTATTAAACATATTGTAAAATTATAAATATAAGGAACGCTTGAAAAAAAATATGTATAGATATTGAATCTTAATGATTTAGATGTTTATTGCATACAAAATACGTTTGTAGAAGCTTGATTTTCTAAATTTTCATTTTGATTTTAACAATAACTTTTTTTGCCTTAATGAAGTAACATGACGTTTAATATGTAATATTAATAACATTTTATGTAGAAAAACGTCAATATTTCTTTGGCTTTATTTTAAAAGACTTTAAATCTAGGCCTAGTGCAGTGGTAACAGTTGTTATTTACTAAGAATTTTTGAGACGCATTTCGGTTAGGTTGGGCGTCAATAAAAAATATGTTGCTTTAGAATATGAATCCTTATGAAATTTTTTATGAGACAAATTTAATCTAAAATTTTTAATAATTTAAAGGTCATTTGGAGGACCTTTCTAATGTGATTTATTTTTCATTTTATTAAATTAATTCTTTTCACTGAAAAAGTAATAATGGGATTTCCCTATATTATTTTATATTACAGCCGCCATGTTAATTTATATAAATATGTTCAAAAAAGAAATACACATTTTAGATCATTTAACATGTGACTGTTTTGATTTTAACAATATTAAGCCTCATGAATAAATTATAGTTTTTAAAAATTATGTTCGCTTTTAAATTATAGTCAGTCATATAAAGGTATTACTTGATTTATTTTTCCATGTTGTGCCCACGAGAGAAAATATCTTAATAAGGAACAATTTAAAAAATAAAATAAAATGTATTCCTCTGCTTCACCTTTAGCAACTCCCAGTGGAGCACATTTTAAAATTGAAATTGTTACATTTTTTTTATATTACAGAAAGAAAGCCTTCGTTCAACTTCAGACGTTTAGTTATGGCATTCAGTATTGCAAAATACGGGGTCTTTTATCTTTTTCTTGACTTCGGTATACTTTATGGTAAGTGACGTTTTTAGAGCAAGACTGGTGGTAACAAAAATTGAACAATATTACCAAACAAAAAACTCTATAAATAGAAGAAGGGCAGCTCGTTCGTTTTCAGAAACGCTTGCGTTAAAAGGGATCTATTAAAAGGCCATCTTCCCACTGGATGGCGTCTCATATCTCCTGGTTGGCACGTACATACTTCAAATTCAAAGTGGGCTCTCAAACTGTCTAAATGAGTCAGTAGAAACAACAACAGTTTGTAATAGATGATAATTCAAAGAAAAAAACAACAACAAATGATATACCCTAAAGATGTTTGTAAGTACTGCATCGAAGTACATGTACTTTGCACAGATAAGCCAGGAAAGCTTATACAACTTTTTATCATACGCTGTTCTCTTTTGGTTTGTGTTGTTAAATGGGTAAAGTATTTTACCTCCTTGACTAGTGAAAGCAACAATCTTTTTATCAGCTGTCCCAGAATCTCCAAATTATTTTAATAGGAAAAGCCTTGAATAGTAAGCCCAATTTAAATATTCAGGCTTTGATACTGAATTTTTTAACAAATCGATCACAATTTGTCAAAGTAAATAACCAATTATCTCTAAACAGAGAAATAAGCACAGGGGCACCACAAGGCTGCGTTCTCTCTCATGTACTGTATACCATATATACCAATGATATTTAAAGCTCAAACGACACCATTCCAATCTTAAAATTTGCTGATGATACCCCCATTGTTGGCTTAACATCTGAAGGAGAAGGCCTATACCGCAATTTAGTTACAAGATTCATCAATTGGTGCAATGAACATTTTCTCCAGCTGAATGTCTCAAAAACAAAGGATATGGGATTTGATTTCAGGAGGGGGAAACACCAGATTACAGATCTCAACATAAAAAATCAAAGTGTAGAGAAAGTGGAGACGTACAAGTACTTAGGTGTCAGCATTAATAATAAGCTAACATGGCATGAGAACGACCAAATGCTGTATAATAAATTCAACCAAAGACTGTTCTATCTCAAAGAACTGTAAAATTTCGGGGTAAACAGGCAAGTCTTTAACTTATTCTCAGTGCAACTATTGGAAGCCTTATTAATTTCAGTATTACCTGCTGGTGTGGGAATTCAACGTCTGATATTAAACACCGCATAAACCGACTAATCAAGAAAGCTAGGAACATAACACAAACTAGTCATCCTTCACTTGAAGAACTATTTTTTGTAAAACTAAACACATTTTGGATGATACATCCCACTCTCTTTATCACAAATACTTAGGATCAGGCGGTTCAGGACGAATTCTGTCCATCAAGGCGAGAACTGATAGATATAAAAATTCTTTTGTTCCCCAATCTGTAGGAATTTACCGGCGTGCTCCTTCTGAGAACTAATAAGTCCCCGATTTGGCTAAGAGAACTCACTGAATGACTGTTTGAGATAATTTATTATATTTGTCTTGTTTTCAAATTGTTTTATTTATGTGCTGAAGATGTATAATGCAATCAAAAAACATTTACATTTATTTGGATAAATAAAAGAATCTTATCTTATCTTAAACAAAGAGTTCTGAGCAGCCTTTATTAACACCTCAGTTGTGATTATTTTTTCCACCAGTCGGATTTGATGTGAATTCATTTCACGAACACTCGTTGTGTATGAAAGAGTGTGGACAGCGATAAAACTTTCAAGTACACTAATTAGACACAAACCATTTGTGTATATAGAAAATATATTTGTTCAGCTTTACTAATAATTAGATAAAATACAAATGTAGACGATTCGGGAAATGATTTCATCAGTACCAAAAAAAAAAAAAATTCAAAAAAAAAAAAAAAATATATCAATATAAATTAAATTTACATTCTATATATACATGTATACTACTCAAAAAAGAGAGAATATTAGTATTTGAATATTTTGGAAATGCTTGATTCCAAGGTAAGTTATTGATTTAGTCACTCAGTTGGTAAATACCAGTTTGTTCATATTGACTCACTCTTCAATTATTTTCAACTTAATAATAATAGCATTATTTTTCCATCACCAGGCCTAAAAATTACTCTCTCTGAATACGGCACCTGCGATGAGAAAACTGGTCCCAAAAAATTCCTGACTAGTCAAGACATGATTGTATTTATAAGTGAAGTGGATTATTCGGATGATCCAGATGCACAATTTGTTTACTTCCAAACAATGAAGAAACAAGATTCGGTATTTCACTATGTAAGTTACTTTCAATTTTTTTAATGTTTAAATTTAAAAGTATATAGTTAAACGTTTGTTTTATTAACACTTGTGGTCTTGAATTTCATTAGTAAGTCTCAACAAAATTCATAATTGATTTACAACCCAAACATAATTTTAGAATTAAAATTATAATAATTAAAATAATAAATAAAATAATAACACATTTAAAATTTAATTAAAATTTCGATTTCTAAATTTTATTTTAATAAATGTAAATGATTCCTGCTTAAATATAGGAAAACATAAATTGACTAAATCATAAAAGTTATTTTACCCTGTTACATTTTAATACTGAATATATTCCCAAAATGTTGCTGAGGTAAATGATGCTCATGTTCGTCCTTTTAAAGTATGGAGCGTGTGAATGTATTAATAAACATTTATTCTTTTTGGTATAAATTGTCAATATGACTTTAATTTAAGATAGTCATTATTTAGTTTATCTGAAATGCATTAGCGTCACCACAAAAAAAAATGATATATTCAATTATAATTTAACAAAGTGGTATACTTCGTGGTGATATACCATTACTAGGGCTTAACCGGGTGCAGTATTTTTACACCGGGTCCGGGAATTTTAATATTTTTACCCAAAAAAGAGTTAAGTTCTCATTGTCAATAATATGCAACGAAATCTATTGCCCTATTTCTTAGTGAGGGAATATTGCAATTGTTAACCGTTTATGTTAAGAAATAACCCAGTGATATGATTTAAATCATAAATATATATATATATATATTCGAGATATGAGAGAAACTACGATTCATTTCTAAAATGGAGATATTAAATATTGAATAATTCTTAAAATTTGGTACGACAAAAAACATTTTCTTCTTCGAAAAAAATGACGTATCAATTTTTAAATAGATGAGAAGGAAAATAATTTTCTGAGGTTGTTATAACGCAGTATTACTCAAATGCATTACCGACAGCAAATTATCATAAGCGTCAGATATTTAGGTGGGGGCTCTGTGAATTTTATTAGTAAATAAACTTTTGAGTTCAAATGAAATATTCAACCAAAAACAAAATGTTTTGTCAGCGTAAAATTAGATTTAATGGTAAAAATAATAAATATACTTTAAAAAATTAATTAAACTAAACACAGGGAAAAAAGGAAAGACCTTTGAACAATCTTTTACACTAAGAATCCAGCCGACTGAATTTTGAAGAGGTTTTAAATAAAAGGAAATTGGATGTCTCGTTGCTAAATTGAAACAATTGGCATTGTAGAACCGTGATTTCTGACTGTTTGTGAGAAGAAAGTGTTACATAATGGTAGACAACCTTGAGTCATTTAACCCAAACATTTGCTCGGTAACAAATTTAGTGATCGCGTAATTACTTAACTATTTTGCAGTAAATATCAAATTTTAACACTTTGATTTTAATAATTGAATGCTTTTGAAATCATCATAGATTACCAGTGTTATATATAACGTTTTACACGATTTCCCCGTGCTTGAATTTTGCTTGACCCCAATTAGATCCCTAGCAGACGTTAGCGTTTGTTGTGGGCGTTGCCTATTCGTTTGATGTATCTTGTTGACTACCGCCTTTCCAATTAAACCTTGTAAGACTGCCTCCTAGTATTTTGTAGAATGTTTGCGATTGTTCTAGAAATGTAAATAAATGCTGAGTAGCCTCTGAGAGGCAGGGCTTACGCGTCGGTAGACCCACCTATATAAGGGATTGACAGATACGGAGAGAAGGAGATTCAGATAGATATTATTAACCTTACGAGGCGTGTATTATTCTTTGTGTATTTGTGTGCTCATATGTGTTTTTTCGCATTTCATCATTATTCATTGGCAAATTATATTTACTGTGTTAACTGTGTACCGGTACAAGATCTACAATACTGTAAGCTGATGATTTGTAATGATATTTCTTTTCTTTTGTAATTACATTAATACATAATAAATCTTATTAATTGTAATTAGCAACTGTTTTGGGTGTCGTATCTTTAATATTGTTGACTCTATGGTATCGTCCTTTGTTAGGCACTGCTTACAACGAGCCAATTAAAACTAAAATAGGAAGTTAATTTCTCATATTAGAAGCCAGTGCATAACACCAGCGTTTATTAATTCATACGAAAATATCGTTGCCATTAATAGGTATTATACTTTTTTTAAAAAATGTTTTAAATATATTTGGAACCTCCAAAAAAGGATAAAAATTTGGATTAACGTTAACACTTCAAGAATTTAATGTTCTAGTGAGCATATCCAAATAGGATGACAGCACTGATTGAATTAATTAGAATCTAAACTACACCTTACGGTATCCCAACGGGTATGGGATTGGAAGTCATGCCATCGCGATATCCATCAGAAATCTTGATCCCACTGAGTTCGGGATCTTATTGGGGAACTTAATATCAATGCGGGGAAACAAATTTAAAAAAAAAAGTCAGGATTTCAATCAGCACAAATACCAAGATCCCAGGCACCCTGATTAATTGAACTCGATAGCCATGGGCGGCAACTCATCTAAGAGAAGTTAAACTCTTAATTCAAATCAGGAGCAAAATTGATCAATAAATTGACCGTGGAACCTCTAATATGAAAAAGTAAACATATATATATGAGAATTTTTTTTTAATTCTTAAGTGTCGTGTGTTTTGAGTGCCCATATTATTCGATTTTCATTAAAGGGCTGTTGATGTTTTTCGAAATTCCATCCAAAGTATATTGGCTTGTAGTTAAATAAAAATTATAGTCTTGCATTTATCCCTTTACCTCAATTTCGTTTTGCATCACTCTGAACTTAGTCGACGAGCAACAGAAAAGAAGCGTGATGAAAATTTAGATGTCCTTTCAAGTGAACTATTGTAGAATCTAAGTAGAACATGAGGCATATTTTGAAATATTAAGTCTTTGCGCTTTTTTAGTTTAAGTTAATATGATCATGTTTTTACTTCTCGTCTTATGTCGTTCTACTGTCTGTAATTACACCATTTTTAAACACTACAAACAATGTCGATATTTTACGGATTTTTTTTCCTTACGAATTTTACGATTGTTATTTCATTTCCATTTTGACAATTGAATCAATTAAAGTAATCTATTTTTTATTCCATAGCTATGTCTAATAGATATGAAAGACCAGTGCACGGAAACCGAGTCAACATCTGATGTATGTTCTTGCACTACTTTAACAAAATACGTTGTGCAAATTAAAGTGTCTCTTAAGGCGTCAAAGTATATGTTCAAAACCTTGTTGCGTGGCATTGTAATAAGATCATATGACAATAAACAAATTTTTAGCAAAGAACGTGCAATTCCTCAAATTTCAAGTGAGTGCTTTTTATACTTTTTTTAAACACTTAAAATTTATACTTCAATATAGATATGACCCGTTGTTAGCATGGATATTATTGTTGATATGTTACTATACAGATTACATATTTTTATAAAGTCTTAAATTTATCATTTTTTTTAGTTAAATTTTTTACTGAAACACTACCCTTATATTTAAATCAAAACTACAGTATTTATAACTTAAAACATATTTTTATATAATGGTATTGTTTTAAAAAAGCTATTCCTAATTTTTGTGCCACGTAAACGAATTTTTGGTACAATAAAAAGACAAAGATTAAATGTGCATTTAAAATATAGAGACAAAAGTTAATACATATATATATATATATATATATATATATATATATATATAAACATTTGTAAATATATATCTATACACAAAAATACAATAAAAAGACAAAGATTAAATGTGCATTTAAAATATAGAGACAAAAGTTAATACATATATATATATATATATATATATATATATATATATATAAACAGTTGTCAAGATATTGCCATCCTCAAAAAAATGTGCCCGACGGTTTTGTTGTCCCCTTAATGTACATTGATTAAACTCACATTTAACACTATTCTTAGCAGCTATATACCAATATTCCACAATTGTAATGTCTTTGCCTTTTTAGATATTGCTATCTTTATAAAAATGAACTAATCTGCTTAACGCCTACTTCACGTCCTCGGTATACATTTGCTAATGCATTTTAACAGGAAGTAGATTTGCGTTTTCCTATAAGTGTCATAAAGCAATTTCCTTACACACATGTGTAAATATTTATTTGCAAGTTTGCCGAAGTAAACATTTATATACAACATTTACGGCACACTACTGTGCAAAATAATAATAGCCCCTTTTAAATGTAGTTTTATTAAAAAATTCATCAAAAAATATTATTAATCAACATTCTGCATAAAGGTTAGTAGAATATAGCCTGCTCTCTATAATCTGTTTTCTTCTAAATTACAGTTCGGCCTGTGTTTTTTCCATACGACAGTCCAAGAACCATCGTAGGATCAAGAGGTATGACCATGCTATATTTTATTATATCATAATATTTTATGTGATTAATTTTCATAGGTATTATTGTCATATTCATAATATAGAAAAAAAATTAGAGACAATAAGGGAGACTGCCGTATAATATATTGTTTATTATTGTGGTTTTGAAAGTTTTCAGTTACCTGCTAAGAAATGACAATCACATATTATGTTCAATATTTCCTAAATTGTTTGAACCATTTTTGCTCAAAACTTTTACAACATTAATTCATGCTTCAGACAACAAACTTTGAACGTTTTCTTAATTTATTGACTAACAACAATTTTGCTGATCAACTTTGGCACATTTTCTATCATCCTTTATCTTGACATAACCCATAACTTTTTATGGCCACATGGCTGGTACAATATAGGAGATTTTCCCTCGCTGTCCTTTTGCAGCTTCCAGTTATGGAAATACGCTTATCGTATCTACC